CAGGGTCAGGGCTCAGTGTGTGATACCAGGGCCAGGGCTCAGTGTGTGATTCCTGAATCTGGACCGTTTCTCTCACTGTGATTTCAGTGAGCCCTGACCCAGGACCTTTATACCGCTGGCATGCATGAGTCCAAGCTCCCTGTGCCTGGTACAGTGACATAGCCCAGAGGAAGTGCTGTGCCCAGCCCTGCCATCCTTAAACACCCAGAGCTGGAGCGTATTCCCTGTGGTGTGAGAAGTGGGAGCCCAGGGTCCTCACCAGCTGGAATCCCCAGTGAGGCTGTTGACCTCTGGAAGTCCCCAGGGGGTGGGGTTCCTTGGCACCTTCAGCCCTGAGCCCTCATCACTCCACTTTGTCATCTACACTACAGAGGTTCCCATCAAGCTACTTGTACTCCTGACTGAGTCCAGCAGAGGGCGCAGTGCAACCCAAAAAGTACACAGCTGGCTCCAGCCTCTTCCGCATTCAGGGCCAAGTGCCCCGCACCCCTGCTGGGAGAACCTTTCAGTCTAGCCTTCCTGAGACCCAGGCAGTGAAGGAGACCAGAGCCACCAGTGCCTCCTCCAATGTCCAGGGCTGTATGCCACCTCCACGCTAGAGGTCAGAGTCCTCCACAAGGACCCATCTCCCTCATACCTGGACCTGGGCACTCTGAGCCCAATTCTGCTCTCAGGGTGAGGCCTGGAGACCTGGAATCCCAGCTCCATCTGCCACCTGGCTAGGGGGAGGAGACTCAGGGAGGCCAAGCAGCACGCCAGGACCCCTGAGCCAGGAGAGGGCAGTCCTGGACTCAAAGGACTTCAAAGGAATCAATAAATTAATGAGGAATGAAGAGCGTGAATGAGGGTGTAAACAAGTGGATGAGGGAGTGAATGAATGAATGAGGGAGGGGATGAATGAATGAGGGACTGAATGAACGAATGGTGTGACTAGATGAATGGTCAGTTCTCTGAGGATAGCCCTCAGGATCAAGTGACCAGAGGTGGCCAGAGCCCACTTCCCCACACCTGGGCCTGGGGGTGTGGAGCAGAGAAGAGCCAGGCTGGAGACATTCCTGAGGGTGCCCAGCACTGGGGGGCCTGTGAGCAGGGTGGTGGAGACAGATGCTTGGGTACTTTCTGGTCCCAGGCCAGATGGTCTGCCCCTGCACACCCAGCAGCGAGGGGGCCTCCCACTGGGACGGAGGTCCCTGTACTGGCCTTGGCTTTCCTGACTGGACAGTGTCTGGACTGTGTGATTCGGCACACCCCACTCTCCTTGGTTCCTGGAAGACAAGTAGCCACCTGCCCATCCAGTCAGACTGTCAGGGACATCTTGGGGGACAGTTGACAGGAAGTGGCATGGGGGGCGGCCCCCCCTTCCTCGCCCCCAGTGACAGGTGTGACGCCAGGCAGAGCTGTGCAGCACTGCTGACTCACATCCAGGTACTGAGTCCCCGCTGCAGCCTTCAGCAGGAGGCAGGCTTTTGTGTTAAAGACGCGTTGCACGTCAGCGACCCTGGGTGTTGTTGGGGAAGCTGGGGGAGGGCACCTCTTCAGAACACCCTCCCAGGGGTGCGAGAGGGTACCAGCAGTGAGCTGACCCTCAGTCTGTCAACCAAGGCAAAGATCCTCTGAGATTGTCAGCAACCTCCCTTTTCCCTGAAGGATCTCAGAGCAAATCCTGTACCTACTGTTTTACCTGTAAGTGGTGCGAATGGCTAAGCACTAAGAGACTAGCCGGAGACTGCCTGTTCGAGGCACCTTGAAGAAAGAGCTGGTGACCTGCTTCGGAATAACCCACCAATGATAACCCTCTGGGGCAGTTGCGCTCTGCACATGGGGGTTACTGTGACCCAGGGTCCCCTCAACTGCAGCTTCCAACACCAACATCTCTACACAGAGACTCAGCCATAGCAAACCTGGGGAAAGATGCCCAGCAACTGAGCAGAGGGCTAGGCCCACTCGGCCGTCCTGGGCTGGCTACCAACTCCCATTCACAGTGGGTTTGTCGAGTCTAGTGTGTACCAGGCCCCCAGGGCCTCTTGTCGATTCCAGGCAGTCTCCCAAACCCTGCGAGTGCAATGTGGTCACTTGGGGGTGGAGGGGTGCAGAGGGAAACACTGAGCCCTCCGATGCCAACACTGAGCTGCGAGGGAGTGTACTATGTGTGGAGTGAAACTGTGCATCATGTGTGTATACCATGTTGTGGTATGCGTACACACTGAATGTTTTGTGTGTAGTGTAGTGTGTGTACCGTGTGAGGGTGTGCACCGCGTGTGGTGTGAGGTTGTGCTCCGTGTGAATGGTGTGAAGAGTGTGCACTGTGTGTGTGGTGTAAGGTTGTGTGTACCATGTGAGGGTGTGCACCGTGTGTGCGGTGTGAGGGTGCTCTGTGTGTGTGGTGTGAAGGTGTGTATCATGTGAGGGTGTGCACCGTGTGTGCGGTGTGAGGGTGCTCTGTGTGTGTGGTGTGAAGGTGTGTATCATGTGAGGGTGTGCACCGTGTGTGCGGTGTGAGGTTGTGTGTACTATGTAAGGATGTGCAACGTGTGTGGTGTGTGAGGGTGTGTACATACCGTATGATGTGTGTAGTGTGGAGGATGCACTCTGTGTGGTGAGGTTGTGCTCCGTGTGAGTGGTGTGAAGGGTGTGCACTGTATGAGGGTGTGCTCCGTGTGTGCGGTGTGAGGGTGTGTCCTGAGTGTGTCTAACTTCTGAGCAGTATCCACGCGGCTCTGCCGCAGGGACACAGCCATGCCACAGGAAGGAGCCCACCAGGACCCACCACCCTTGGACAGAGGACACTGGGAAGACTCGGCCGAGAATCTGGCAGGATGACGTCATCACCTCCGACACAGGGAACGCAAAGCGCTCAAGCTTCCACAGCCCGGCTGTATTTCAGCGCTGGCATCTCTTCCCGGGAACCGAGGCCATGGGCCATGAAACAGTCAGCTGCAAACCCATCCTCCCTCCATCCTGGTGTGCTCACGGGCGAAGGTCACAGTGGAGTGGTGAGGAAATGGGGAGAGCTGCTGTGGCTGCCGCGTTGACGGGGTCGGGGCAGGAACTCGGGCAGAGTGATGGCCAGCGTGCAGACAGCCGAGAACTCCGAGTTGAGCCAGACTGGGTAACAGAAAGGCCAGAAGTGTGGGCTGTGGGAATGTGGTCCCTGCTTACTGGCCCGGAGCAGGTGGAAGGGGGTTTCAGGGTACAGCCTGGAACACCAGGGTGGCCAGCCACTGCTGAAACACCCAGCACTACGTCCACAAGGGTCCTGGGATCAGATTGCCAAGGAAGGGGACACATGGCTTGGCCGCCATGCACGCTCAGGGAGCAGGACTCTGCGTGAGGACCCGGCTGAGGCGCTGCTGCAGTTCGGGGTGGGCTCCTCCCAGGACACGTCTTCTCAATCCCACAACCTGAGAGAAACGGTCCCCACACACGGCCTGGGCCAGCGTCCCCCTGATAGCAGAGCCCCACCGTGTCCGAGGGTCCCCATCTCTGGGAGAGTCAGGGCCGTACCTGCACCAGCTTGTGGCTCCTGCCCAGGCAGAACTCGAGGGTAACAGCAGGGAGCACGTGTCAGCTGTCACCAGGCACTGCTGCAGATGTGGCTGGCAGAGAGGGGCACACCTGGGGGCCCTCCACCTTGACAGCAGTCCCGGGTGCTCCACACCTCCTCCACGCCTGCCTCTGCCGCACGAAGACAGCATAGAGCAGGTGCAGCTGGCCCCGCTCCTGGGCGGTAAAGCAGGAGTGCTTGTCCGCAAAGTCCAAGACAACGTCAAAGGAAGCAGAAGCCTTCTCCCAGGCGCCCACGTCCTCTGGACAGGCTCCCTGGGCCTTTCCCGCCTCACAGACCCACTGGACCGGCTCTGCAGCCCCCATGTGGCCGTCACCACTGCGCTGGGGTTCCTTCCCAGCTTCCCCCGACTCTCTGCCTTCACTTTTGTGGCACCTGCTGCTCACGTGGGGTGCACTGTCCTTCGGGAACCCCATGACGTGGCTCCAAGTCTTGCTCTGCGGCTGGGTCCGCGGGGGCTCTGCCTCCTCGCCTTCTGAGGAGGAACCGTTGGCATACAGGGCAGCCGGCCACAGCTTCCTCCACGCACGCCGCAGCACCACTCTGGGGACGTCACCCCAGGCACAGGCCACGTGGAAGATGGCATCGTGGATGCTGTAGCGGGGGTGGAAGTCCTGCAGTGTGATGGGGGGGTTGAGGAAACTCCTCATGAAGGCCCGTCGGACTCCCTGGTCCATGGGCTGGATCAGGGAGGCCACCCCGGCAGGCAGGAAGATGGTGAAGATGTTGTTGGACACCAGCGAGGCCTCGGGAGGGTGCGCCCGTGAGTTGTCCAGCAGCAGGATGGCCTTGCCGTCCTCAGGCAAGCCCACTGTCCGGAAGTGCTGCCTCACGGAGGGCACGAAGACATGGTAGAACCAGTCAGAGAAGATTTCCTTGTCCATCCAGGCGTGGCCCTGCACCTGGTAGGCGACAGGCAGGTGCTGGATGCCTCGGAGTGCCCGGGGGCCGCTACACTTGCCCACCACCAGGGGCTTCACCCTGTGGGAGCCGGCAGCGTTGGCACACATGAGGACGGTCAGCCTGTCCTTGCTCTGCTTAGGGCCTGGCCTGGGGACCCCCTCGGAAGTGGGGCGGGGCAGGCAGCGCCAGAAGAGACCTGTCTCGTCCGCGTTGTACAGCTGCTCGGGGGACAGCCCGTGCTCAGCAACCAGGCTTCGGAAGAAACCACAGAATTGTTCGGCTGCCTGGCGGTCAGCCATCTGTTTCTCACTGGACGCGTCCAGCTTCTTGATGCCGTGCCGGGCCTTGAAGCGCCACAGCCAGCCTCCCGAGAAGACGCAAGGCTCAGTGAGGTGTAGCTGATCATACAAGTCCTTGGCCTTCTCGATGAGCATTGGACCCGAGACAGGCACGCCCTCAGCCCGCTTCACCAGGAACCACTCGTATAGCACGCGGTCCAGGTGCTCCAGCTTGGGTGTGTGCAGTGTGCGCCGGCGCTCCAGAGCCTGGTTGGAGTCGGAGTTGGCAAAGAAGCGCAGCAGCTGGGCCTTGTGGGCCTTGATGTCATAGAGGGTGGACATGCCCACGTTGTACTCCTGCATCAGCTCCTTCCGGTTCTCGCCCTTCTCCAGCCGTGCACAGATGTCCATCTTCTCCTTCAGGGTCAGCACCACCCTCTTCCGCTTCGCCCCTCGGGCCTTCCCAGCAGGCAGCTTGGACGCCATGTGCAGCAGGGAGCGATGCCGGGCCAGGCTGCGGCCTCCTCCTCCCTCGCTTGTCCCAGGCTCTCTGAACAGCACTGTCTCTGGTCTCCCACCCACACAACTCCCGCACCAAGCAGGTGAGGTGCCAGATGAGACACTGCCCTTGGACTGTCTAGCCTTCTTGGCACTGATAGCAGCTCTCCCAACTTGGCTTCTCCCTGAAGACAGACCAGGCAGTGGCCGGTCCCAAGTGGCCTGTCTGCTGAAGGTTGACTGTCCTTGGGCACACAGGGTTGTCTCGCTGCAGTGCACTGAAGGAGGGAAGGAGAAGCAAAGGTCACGGAGAGTAGACCTGGGGCCTCTGGGAGGGTACCCTGGAACACCTGTGTTGTCGTGGCACCCACGGAGGTGACAGCTCGGGCCACCTGGGGCCTCTGGAAGCGTCCCCTGGAACACCTGTGTTGTCGTGACACCCACAGAGGTGACAGCCCGGGCCACCTGGGGCCTCTGGAAGCGTCCCCTGGAACACCTGTGTTGTCGTGACACCCACAGAGGTGACAGCCCAGGCCACCAGAGCAGCAGTACCAGCAGCCACCATGTCTACCCATGAAGAGACCTGGCATTGTCCCGCGTGCCCCACCTCGCTTCCCGCCCAGCCCTTTGCTTTTTTGTGGCTGCTTTCCCGAGTCATACAGTGGGCAAGGCTAGAGGACACCCAGTCCGTGGAGAATAAAATCGTAGTTCTTTGGGACTGTCACTCCAGAGAAAAGGGAAATCCATTCTAAGGCAGCTAAAGGCCCAAAGGCAGATGCCAGCCAGCTCTGCCAGAGTCCTCTCCAGAGAGTCCTGTCTGTCACCTAGCCCCCTAACCCCACCCGTTTCCCCATCTGTAAATTCAGGGGCCTCACATTCCACCTCCCAGCCCCGGGGGGTCAGAGAAGGGGCGGGGCGTAAAGGCCAGAATGCACCCTCCAACCAGTGTGGAAAAACAGCAAACATGGAATCGGACAATAACGGGTCGGGCTGGACAGAATCTCAGCGCTCTGGGAGAGAGGAGCAGGGCACTTCCCCGGGGAGGTTCAGCAGCAGGGCAGAGCCTCCCCACCAGAAACCTTGCTGCCCTTCTAAGACAAAAAACTCTCTTTAAAAAATAAATTCAAAAGTACTCTGACATCAAGCTGTGGATCAGGACTACAACAAAAAAAAATACTTATGAAAACAAAGACAAAAATGTAAGAAAACATGACATGGCCGGAGGACGGAAGGCGACTCCCAGTCTGGTAACTTTAAGGATAAAGCACTGGACTGCTAATCGCAAGGTCAGCTGTTCAAGCCCACCAGCCGCTCCCCGGGATGTCGCTCCATCCCGCGAACACTGAATTCCCGTGGGCCCAGGGGACACACAGAAAATTACGCTGGGGTCCCACAAAAACGCAGGGTGCACTCCTCCAGCACATCTCAACTCCTCCCCGGCGGGGTGTTAGCAAACCAGGCGTAGGCTCCCCTAGTTTGGGGCGGATGCAGGGCAGGCCCCTGACGTTGGGCGGACTCGATCCTGCCCCAGGGCGAGGTCGGGGGCACGTACAGCCGGTTTGGAAGGCGTTTCTAAGCCTGGAGCCGCGCTCGGGCGCGATAAGAAACCCAGCACAGCTCTCTACGGGTTCCTCCGGACTGGGGGCGTCCAGGACGGAGGGCTGGGGGGGTCGGGGAGCCTCCACTTCGGAGAGCCAGGATTGGGAGACTAGAAGTTCAGACGGATCCTGAGTTGGGGAAGGGGCGGGAAAAAAGGGATTTTCGGGGTTCTCCTGAGCCCAGAGCCGGGCGGGGAAGCGTTTGCTACGCCCGACCCCGGCGAAGCACGCTCAGGCGCTGGGCAAGACAGAAAGCGCGGCCGCTGGGCCCGACCGAGCCCCCACTCACCCTCGGACCCTAGCCGCCGCACTGGCCGGAAGTGCCGCCCGCTCGACTCTCCGAGGGTCCGCTGCTCCCGCCTTCCCCCAGCTACTTCCGGGGACGCTCTAGCACGCTGGAGGACTCGGCCTCGGTGCCAAAGCTGAGCCCTCAGAGGCGCAAGGAAGCCTTTCGGTTGCGAACCGAAAGCTGTGGGTTCGAATCTCCCAGCCGTTGCTCAGGAGAAAGATGTGGTAGTCCGCTTTCATACCGATTTCAGCCTTGGAAACCTTATGAAGCAATTGTATTCTGTCCTATCTGGTCACCACTAGCAGTCGTTAGCAGTGGGTTGTTTGTGTTTGGAGGAGTTGGGGGTGGAAAGGCGGGGCAGAACGGTAACCCCAAAAGCTGGGCGTTGCATGGCCTCGACCCAGGATCCCTTTGAGCTTCAATTTCTCCTTCTGTGGAATGGGCGTGGGATCCTGGGATCTTAAATGTTATGATGCAAGAACCAAACCCCTGCACTGAAGGAGTTGGGGCCCCTCCAGTGCACCCCCAGCAGGAGGACTTGGTCCTGAGGCAAAAAGTCTGGGGTGCCCAAGGCAGGGGTCTGGCTCCTTCACAGTGAAACCCACTGGGCCCGCGTTTTCCTCCCCACTTCAGCTGAGAGCCTCTCCCCCTGCAGGTTGGTCCTGGCGTCCATTGTGACCCTGTAGGAAGCAGGCCCTCGTCTTTCTCCCGGAAGGGGCTGTGGCTGTAACTGATGCCAGAGCCTGTGGCCATGTTCCTTCACACAGTGAAAGGAACTTCACAGGATGTGATTGCACTTGGGACAGGCTCCTTGATTGTCCAGCCCCAAGGGCCCTTATTACAGGGAGGAAGGTGGGTCTCAATCAGAAGAGATGTGACAACAGGCAGAGGGAGAAAGTGAGATGGGACCCGAGGTGGGTGGTTCGCTTTGAAGATGGGGGCGGGGGCACTCTCCAAAAGCTGGAAAAGGGAGGGAACCGGTTCTCCCCTTGAGCCTGGAAAGGGAACCAGCTCTGCCTCCTCCTTCGTTTTAGTGCCCTCAGACTCATTCAAGGATCCCTGATGGCACAATGGGTAAAGCATCGACCACTAACTGAAAGGTCAGCAGTTCAAACCCGCTAGCTGCTCTCTGTGGAGTTCTGGTGTGGCGCTCTAGGATGAGCACAAGGTCAGTGGTTCAAACTCACCAGTCGCTCCTCAGAAATCCTATACAGGGCTGCTAGGAGTTGAAACTGACTCGATAGCACTTAACAACAGCTGCTCCTTAGAGTCCTGGTGTAGAGCTGTAGGATAAGCACTGGACTGCTAACCAGAAGGTCAGCGGTTCAAACCCAGAAGCCCCTCATGTTGGCGTTCAGTGCTGTCGAGGCAATTCCAACCCATTTCGACCCTGTATAGGGTTTCCAAAGAGCAGCTGGTGAGCTTGAACCGTCGACCTTGTGGTTCAAACCGACTTTGCAGTCCAGCTCATTAACCCACAGTGACACCAGCCCCTCCTAGGAAATGTTATGTGGGTCACTATGAGGCAGACCCGATTGGACGGCACTTAAGAGAGACAACTGCTCCTTGGGAGAAAGACGGGCCAAAACCCTACAGGGCAGTTGTCATCTGTCCTTGTTGTTGTTGTTGTCAGGTGCCATCGAGTCAGTACTGACCCATAGTGACCTTATGCACAGCAGAACAAAACACTGCCCGATCCTGGGCCAACCTCACTACTGTTGCCACACTTGAGTCCATCGATGCTGCCACTTGGCCAATCCACATCACTTTGAGTCTTTCTCTTTATCTCTGACTCTCCACCTTACCAAACATGATATCCTTCTCCAGCGACTGGTCCCTCCTGACAATATGTCCAAAGTATGAGAGACGAAGTTTGGCCATCGTGGCCTCTAAGGAGCACTGTGTCCTTAGGGTCACTGGAAGTTGGAGGTGAGTCCAGGACAGTGGCTTTGCTTTTGGAAGATTCCTTTCACACTGCTGCTCTCCAGAACGGTTAGCCCATTCTAAGCTATCAGGTTTAACCTGGATCTCACAGGTTTTCCATCTTTTAACAGGGTGCAGTCTGACTACTTTTCGGTCACTCACTTTGTTGTTGTTGCTAGGTGTCGTTGTGTTGGCTCTGACTCACAGTAACCCTGTGTACAACAGAATGAACCCCTGCCCCATCTTCTGCCCTCCTCACAATTGTTAACATTTGAGCTCATTGTTGCCACCACTCTGTCAGCCCATCTTATTGGGGGTCTTATTTTCAGCAAAGCCTCTTACTTTATCAAACACGATGTCCCTCTCCAGTGACTGGTATTTTCTAATAGCACATCCAGAGTAGGAGAGGCCAAGTCTTCCACGCTCCCTTCTAAGGAGCATTCTGGCTGTGTTTCTTCCAAGACAGATCGATCTCTACGTCTGGTAGTCCGTGATACTTTCAATATTCTTCCCACAAACACCGTGATTCGGGTGGACCAGTTCTTTTATGCATTGTCCAACCTTCACATACACATGAGGCTACTAAAAACATGGTCCTCAAAATAGTGATCCTATGCACAACAGAATGGAACACTGCCTGGTCCTGGGCCAAGCTCATACTCATTGCTACGCTTGAGTCCACTGCTGCTGCAACTGAACCAATCCATCTCATTGGGAGGGCTTCCTCTTTTTCTCTGACCCTCCACTTGACCAAATATGATATCCTTCCCCAGTGACTGGTCCCTCCTGACAATGTATCCCAAGTAAGAAAGACAAAATCTGGCCATCCTGGCTTCCAAGGAGCACCCCGGCTGCACTTCTTCCAACACAGATCTGTTGGTTCTTTTGGCAGCCCATGGCACTTTCAATATTCTCCTCCAACACCAGAACTCAAAGGCATCAGTTCTTCTACGGTCTTTCTTAATCACTGTCCAGCTTTCACTGCATATGAGGTTATTGAAATGATCATGGCTTGCGTCAGGTGCACCTTAGTCCTCAAACTAAGTCGTAGTCCAGTGCTTATTATCCAGAGCCACCACACTCCCCCTTTAATACTTAGAAGTCTTTTGCAGGAGATTTTCCCAATACACTACGTCATTTGATTCCTTAACTGTTGACTGTGAATTCAAGTAAGATGA